GTTGCTCGTGGAGATGACAAATTGGTGGCAGTTAGTAGCAAATCTGGATGGCTCGTGTCTGGGCCTACAAAAGGGGACAGTGGAACTGCCTACTTCACCACATCAAATCTAATTGTTTAGAAACCATGTGACTTCATGGAGAGCCAAAACCAGGCTACAGAACTAGCGAATAGTTTAAACCGGTTCTGGGATATTGAATCAGCTGGGATTACTCAGACATCAAGCAAGGTAAACGAAGATGAGCAGCTTTTAAGATTCATTAAGTTTGACAAGGATGAAGGAAGATATAAAAAAGGTTGACCTTCCTTGGAGAGAACAAACATGTAAACAGTCAGACAACTTTGATCTGTGTCACCAGACTTAACTGTTTGAAAGCACGTTTGAAGGAAGATGAGAAGTTACTTCAGGAGTCTGATAGCATTTTCAAGGCACAGTTAGAAGCTGGGGTTATAGAGTTGGTTCCTAAAGATGAGGAAGATTTCGAGGGTGCTCATTTTCTACCACATCATGGAGTTTTGGGAGAAGACAGGGAGACTACGAAGCTGCGTATCGTATTTGATGGCTCAGAAAGAGCGGGCAAGAATCAGTACTCGTTGAATGACTGTTTAGAAAAGGACTCAAATTTAACTCCACATGTATTTGAAGTACTGGCCAAGTTCAGAAGTTATCCTGTAGGAGTGACAGCTGACATTGAGAACGCATTTCATCAGATTTCAGTTAATCCGGCTGAGCTTGACCAATTGAGATTTCTGTGGTTTAAGAACGTTTAGGGGGAGAGACCAGACATTGTGCAGTACAGGTTTCGTAGGCTTGTATTTGGACTGACTTCGAGTCCAGCAATTCTGAATGAAACAATTCAGCATCATTTATCACATTACAAGAAAGCAGAACCACAAGTATCAGAATTGCTGGCTAATTCGTTGTATGTTGATGATTTCCCGGTGGAGCCAGTGATGAGGAATCTGCTATTCATGTTTATCAAAGGGCAAAGGCCATCATGAAAGAGGGAGATTTCAATTCAAGCATTGTAAGGCAAAGGATCAGTGAGGAAATTAACAAAGAAGATGACAAGTCAGAGGTGAAGATCCTTGGATTGAACTGGGACACTGAGTGATGAGAAGAAGCCAGTTTGTCGCCACCTCCATGGGTTCAGTGATGCATCTGAACAAGCCATTGCAGCGGTTGCCTATCTGCGTACAGTGTATGAAGCTGGAGTTGTTGACGTGCGGCTCACTGCCTCCAAAACAAAGGTTGCACCACTGAAGA